CCTCCTCCTCCTCCTCCCCCTCCTCCTCCTCCTCCTCCCTCCTCCTCCTCCTCCTCCTCCTCTCTTCCTCTCCCCCTCCTCTCCTCCTCCTCCTCCTCCTCCTCCTCCTCCTCTCCTCCTCCTCCTCCTCCTCCTTCCCTCTCTCCCTCCTCCCCTCCTCCCCCTCCCCCCTCTGCCCGCCTCCGACGCCCGCCTCCGCGCGCGCGCGCGACGCGCGGCCTCCGGCGCCGCGCCCACTGCGAGCCCGGGGTACGGCCGCGGGGCCGCCGCCCGGGGCACCTCGGCCTCGTGGTGCAGCAGGGCCGCGCCCTCTCAGAGATGGGCGCCGCGGGCACGCACGCGCGGCGACTGCGACGACGACGACGGCGACGACGACGGCGGCGACGACGACGACGGCGGCGACGACGGCGACGACGACGGCGACGGCGGCGACGACGGCGACGACGGCAACGACGGCGACGACGGCGGCGACGGCGGCGGCGACGACGGCGGCGGCGACGACGGCGGCTGCGACGACGACGACGGCGACGACGACGGCGACGACGACGGCGGCGAATGCGGCGACGACGGCGACGGCGGCGACGGCGGCGGCGACAGCGTCGGTGGCGGCGACGGCGGTGACGACGACGGCGACGGTGACGGCGGCGGCGGCGGCTGCGGAGGCGGCGACGGCGACTGCGGCGGCAGCGCGCCGAAGAGGGGGGCCAGGAAGAAGGGGGCCAGCGCAATCGTGGCCCGAGGGGAGGGGCCACTCGGGGGCCCCCAAGCGGGGTGGTGAGCACACCGTGCGGTGAGTCGGTGGGGACTCGGGGTCACCGCACGGTTTTGGGACTCGGGTCGTTCTCTGAGGACGTCTCGGGCGACTGGGGCATCCGAGGTCCCAAAACCGTGCGTTGACGGACCGTGCGGTGAGGTGTTGCGGGATGTCGAGGTCACCGCGCGGTCTGTCACCGCACCGTTTCGGGACTCCAAAGCCACAGATCACGTGGCCAAACAGCCGGGCGGGGGGCGGGGCGGGCCCGAGTCTCCCGCGATTCCGGGCGCTCTGTGGGCGTCGCTCAGTGGGGGGGCGATGCATGGGGGGAAGGAAGGTGCACTTCCCAGGGCCCAAGGGCTCCCTTGTGGGCCCTCCAGGGCTCCCGTAAGAGGCCCTGTAGGGCCCCTTCTCTGCAGCCCTCCCTGCCCCCCCCATTGTTGCGCGACGCCCAATGTTCTTCGTCGACCTCGGCCTCCTTCGGGACCGCTGTCTGGCACGCAGTGGTCCGGGGCGACAGGCTGGCCCCGAGGTGAGGGGTCGGGACCTCTGGGGCCCTGGGGCCCTGGGGCCGCGCAGGGGTCGGGACCTCTGGGACCTCGGGCCTCGGGGGGGGGGGGGGGGGCGCTGGGCTCGCGCCTCGCCTGCTCGGGGGCGCGCGGCGCGTTCGGGCGCCAGCTGCTCGAGCCTGCTCGGTGCCCCGCCAGCCGGGGGGGATGATGACCCCCCCCGCCTGCAAGTTGGAATGCGAGCGAGCTCGGCCCGGGGCGGGCACGGACGCCTCTGGCGTGCCTCGGCCCCCACGTGTGGGGGCCGAGGCACGCTCCTGCGGCGGGGAGGCGGAGGCACTGGGGGTCAGACGAGCGGGGAACGCGGAGGGACAGGGGAGAGGGCCGGGGCAGAGGATGCTGCAGGAGCAGGAGGACGGGCCGTCCCGATCGCTGGACCCCCGAGGCGGCAGGGAGCAGCCGAAAAACCGGTGAGAGGGACGGCTGGGAGAGTGTGCGGGTGCAAGGGGCGCTCCCGCCGTGACGCCCCCTCGCGGACCGAGGAGGCAGAGAGCAAGCAGACGATGCCCAGAACCGAGGGGCCCAACCCAGTCACACGAGTCGGGTGTTGCTAAAATTATCCCGGCAAAGCAACCTAACAGCGATGTGTAAAAGCATATCTGGAAGCATTCCCCTAACGATTCAGATGAGAATCCGGTTGTAGAACTCTGCTGTTCTCGCAGTCGCAGTCGCATTTGCGATGACAGTCGCAGTGGCAACGGCAGTCGCAGTCACAGCCTCAGCCTCAGCCTGCCTCAGCCTCAGCCTCAGCCTGCTTCAGCCTCAGCCTCAGTCTGCCTTCAGCCTCGGCCTCAGCCTCAGCCTGCCTCTGCCTCAGACTGCATGTGCCTCAGGCCTGG